TGCAGGTGTCTGTGATGCAGTGCAGATGCCAACATGCCCCCCCATGTGATCTCCCTGCAAGTGAGAGTGGTGGAGCCACCTACAGTGTGCAGGGACCTACTAGAGCAGGCTAGGTGCTTCAGTTCAATTCAGCAACAAAAGTAAGACACGTGGAAGATGGTGGAGCTTTTATGGAGGGGAGGAGAAGGTGGGGGCAGTGGAAGGGAATTGCATGCAGAGATCAGAGCTGAAGAGGGGTAAAAGTGAGATGTGGATGGGTGATGAACAGGTAAGCAGATGTAGAAGAAGAAGGATGAACTCTGCACTCTGAGTAGTGGACCCCTAAACTCTGGCACTCTATATGCAGAACACCCCTGAACTCTACAGTATGTACATAGCACATCTTCCAACTCTGGACTCTGTGTGTAACTACCCTCGAACTCTTCACTTGGTACGTAATGCACTTCTGGTATTTAATGCCCCTTTAAGACCCTCCCACTGTTAGTGAAATTTGACCACACCCTCCAAACGCGCAGGGGAGAAGGGGGGTTTTGGGGGATCGTGGCTAAGTTCCTGCACCCCTGTTTTCTGTGAAAAAAAGCCATATATATATATATACTGTATACACTCATATGTGGCATTTCATATTTGCCTGAAGCAATGAAAAGAAGAAAATATGTTCTTTTAACATTTTTTATCCTGACCATTTAAATTAAAGAACATATATAAAAAGCTAATATCCATCCTCTTTAACAGTGCAATATGGCAAAGTGCAGCAAAATAAAAAATATTTTGATCTTTATAACACCTATCCTTTAAACTTGGCACAACATTCTAACCAAAACACTTGAGACAACAGAAGCACATAAAGGTTTAACACCACCCGAAAACATAATAACATCAATATTTAACACATTAAAGAATATAAAAAAAGATTATTAAAATATTAGAACAAAAATGTGTAAAAAAAATGCACCTTTTATTTATTTATATATTACATGGGCTGTATGTTCCCTTGAAATAGCAAATCATTAAAAAAATTAACAAACAATTAATCTGATATCATTCCACATAAATACAGACAAAAAAAAATATACAGGCTTATTTTTCGTGCACTGAAAGTTGTTTCTCCTATTACGTATATTGACACCTATCTGGATGGGTCTGGATCTTTCATGTATTGCTGTACCTGTGGTAACCATCAGATACACTTCCTTTTAAAGCCTAACTTTAGCCATTATTAATATTTTCTTTTTTAGATTTGATTGAGTGGGGATATTAGGATATCTGTCAGGTGGTTAAGTTTATGACCCTCTTGGAGAAGTTTTGTTCATTTGGTTGTCATCAGGAAAGGAAGGCATAGACAACAATAAAAACATGCTCAAAATTTCTAAACTTGTTGGAGATATTTTTCATTCCTTCGGATCCTGATATCAATACAAAACTAAAAAACACGTTCTAACGGTTTTCTGCTTAATCCAAAATGTGGCCATACAGCAGATCTTAGCATCACGTCAATCTTCAAAATATGTTCCCAAATATATGCAAGAGATACTTCTTTTTAAACAGTATGAAACTGGTATTACTTGGGTTACTGTTTTGGCTAAGACAACTAAGTGCTGGAGAATGCTTATGAATTGACCCACCCAGGGGCGGACTGACAACTCATGGGGCCCCCGGGCAATAGGGGATCATGGGGCCCCTGTGTCCTTGCCCAAACTCAAAAAAGCCTATGAAAAAGGTACCAGGGGCATCTCATGGGGCCCCCTACTGACCTCGGGCCCTCAGGCAGTGCCCGAGTTTCCAAATGGTCAGTCCGCACCTGGACCCACCTCCCTAACAGCATGTTATCTTATTTGAAAGCTACCCTGGAAGGTTAAAAAAAAAATCAAGATGAAAGAGTCACACAAAAGAAGAGCTCTTATACGCCACCATGGTTTGATACTGTGACCCCCTATGTCACTACAGGACACAGCAGTGATGTAGGGAGTCAGAGGAAGGAACCACATAGTAAAGGACACCATCCCAATTCCAGCAGAGTTGAATGAGGAGGAGACTGATGGAGGCTGCAGCACTGGAACAGAGTGGAAACAGAGGACACACAGACTGGTATAGGAGCTCTTGTTTTGCTGGACACCACTTACATTGCAATGATAATGCTATAAGGTAGAGCAAAATGCTAATTGAGGCTTGCCAGAATTGGATTTGTTGCATTCAGTTTTCTATTTCCTAGCTTGCAAGTTATATACAGCATTCCCAATTTTGCCTGTTCAGGAAAACACCACTTGATGTCTGGCCATGAGGTATTATGACATCGTAATATAATAGCACCAGAGAAACAGATGAACAGAAAATGATGACACTTGAAGGATTTTTTGACCTATCTGTATTGTCTTAAGAATCAGACTCAAGATGATATCCATTTTTAACAAAGTAGTGATTTACCCTACCTAACTTTGTCAGGATGGCCCAAGAGGCAGCTGACACAACCAGAACATTTAAATTAGGCAGCAGGGATGGTGCATCTAATGCATAATGGAAACAGTAGCCATCTTGGGTGTGGCAGGTATAAATTAAGGAGGCAAAGAAAGACTGGCAGCCTGATTCAATATAGGAAACAATATTAAAAACAAAACTGGAATTCAACCTGTCTAATACTGGTGCAAGGTCTGAACAAAATAAACACACATGAACATACACACAAAAACATGTCCATTACAAATAGTCACTTACTGCATAGTTGTTAGAATACCCTGAAATATGTATGAGATTGCTATGCAAAATAAATAAGTTTCATCATAGGTGGTGTTTACTTCATAAATTCAGTTAGGTTCAGGATAAGTTAATATATTTTTAACAATCCGTGTACTTAGCTTTGTGTTTTCAGGAGTACACAGGATAGGATGAAAATGTCCTTTTCCTTTAAAGGTACCTACATACATGCCAGAAATTTTGTCAGATGCAGCAAATTTAAGTTTCAAAAGTAAAAGTCCTTCCTATAAAAAAAATGATATGATGACTTACTCTAAGAGCTGATTCACACATGTGCGGTGCAGATTGAAGCTCAGGTTTCACGGCTAATTGATACAGTATTTGTTCACCCGGTTCATGTCAGGTTCAGGACAGGATTAGATCTCAGGATTATCCTGTTCACACATATGCAGTTTAGAAAAGGTTTCCCATAGAAGTCAATTATGCCTATAATCAGCACCTAAACCGGACCACACTGCTCAGAATCGTACTTTTTTTTTTTAATCTGCACTGAATCAGCACTGCCAGTACACCAGACATAGGTGAACAGGCACCATAGGAAGCAATGTTTTTTCACATGTCATGAGGATTGGATGCGATTCAAACCACATCAAATCCACATATATCGGAACCGGCACTAAATCAAGGCTAAACCATGCCAACTGTCATTCCACTGTCCAAGCAGTCTTCATCTGTGGCCAGTAAGAGCAATCTCATTGTGAGGAGAACGGCAGTTGGCGGAGTTTAGCCATGAAATTAGGCAAAGCCAGGCCCCTGGAAACAATTTAAACTGAATCAGAGTAGTGGAGCTACTTGTGCAAAAAAAAAAAAAAATCAGAGTAGGGTACAAAAAAGGCTTATCTGGTTTATAAAAGTAAATGCACTTTCCAAAGTCACTTTGGAAATTACAATGTTAGGAACTTTTATTAGCACATTAGAAAAAAAAATACATTATTAGATAATTTTTTTTCTATCCATTAACTGTAATTCTGGAAAAAGAAACTCTCTGTATTCTTACAGAGATATAAATGGTGGTGTGTTCACATCCTATGGGGCTGTTTAAGGAATATATGTTAAACACTCAATGTACATGCCAGATTCACCACTCTAAATGACTGTATTGTATATAAATAATCTGTCTGTCTTTCTCACCATTTATGAACAAATGTGATGTTCAAGTTTGCTTTGAACAAGATGCAATACACATTTAAAAGGTTAAAAATGTTTCCATATCCAATCATGTAATACACTGACTATTTAAATAAATCAAGTAAATAAAATAAATAAATATTAATAAATATTTGCAACCAGCTTGGCACAATGACAATGCCATTAAAGGTTACACACATGCCTCGTATAAATTAATAAAATTTAAATAATATTAGTTTTTCCTAATTTCCAGAAAAAAAAACAAAAAACAATATCCACTCTACTTTAGTCCATGACTGTGTGCTAGTGAAAAGAAATGAAGATCCACACAAAAAACTGGTCTTTTTTTAAAATGCATAACAATTTGTGCTACATATTACCGGGTCTATGTATCAACGCACAATCAAACTTGCTATCCTATTTAACATGTTTACCTCAAATTAGTTTTTTTTTTTTTTAATTCTCATTTTGTGTTTTAACACCAAAATGTGCTACACATTTCTTAAAAGGAACTTTACTTAAAATGTCACTAATATATTAATTTTATAAAAAAACATTTTAATTGGATCTGATAGCAGAAGCCACATTTGCAGTGCCTTAGTTCTGATTTTTTTAATATCTGAATTCTATTTCAGAAATTGGCTGAAACATTTGTTCCTTAACATGTTTTTTAGGAGTGCATAAATATTATTTTTAAAAAATCTATCTCCTATTTAGTAGCACTCTTAACATGTATGTCAGGAAGGACCATGTTATGTTTTTAGTTCATGCATATATATATACTGAAAACATATTTCAGGACGATTACATTTGCTTTGATACAGAGACCCTTATATACATTTACTGCTTTTTTTCTAAACTCTCTGCCTCCACTGACTGCATTTTTCTAAGCCTAAAAGAATTATTTGATGTGCTACAATTGCAGGAGAAAAATGGAGTTTTGATATAGGTCTTCTGTCAGGCACCATCTGATTGAAGAAGTAGAGGAGTGATGATGAAATATTTTCAAGTGTCCGTTGCACCAATTTTATTTTTAAGTCACCAATAGAGAGCGCCTTTAAAATTATTAAAAAATATGACCTAGTTCACTCATCAGTCTTTACAACACCTCTTCGTGATGGTCACTGTTCCTCCTGCCCTCTTTTACGTTCTGGAGAACAAATCCAGGAGACAGGCAGCTGAAAAGAAATTCCTGCAGTAAGTTACCAGGTATTTGGGGGCTATATTTCTTTTTGTAATCACTGACAAGAGCCCTTTATCACAGCTGCTGCTTCAAAGTTCTTATAATTTCAATTCTTGCTCTATAATTCCAATTCTTGCTTTAAATGCAAACAGTAGGCCAATAGTGGAAAAAGGTAATCAATCATAATTTCAGAATGGCTCAAACTGAGCAATTCCACCGTTCAATGCTGTAAATTAAAGTAAGATAAGAAAAACAAAATTTCAAATTTTTTAAAGGGGCAGTCCCAGTGAAGCCTCAAAAGATCTACAGCACATCTTAAACCGAAAGTTAAGTCAATTCTGTTTTTAGATTAAATATAAATAAGAAAACAAGCTCTAATTATATATATATATATATATATATATATACATTTTACAACCTATTGCAAAAAAGTTGTATGATTTTGCAATGATGGTTTTTTAGATGGTACAAGTTAATAAAGTAGAAAGAGATAACCAAAATGGTAACAGAAAATAAAACACCAATGCCCTGTTAAATAAAAAATGATTTTAAGCCAGAAAGGCCTGCCCCTTTATTGTACAGTTGGTTAGTTGCAAAGATAAAGTTAGTAAGGCTATTTTCTTAGAGAAAACATTACAACAATTTGACACAGTGAAGCAGGAGGCAGTGAAAGAACATATCTTTTTTTTACTTGTCTCTGCATGCAAATTAAAATAAAAACACTGAAATAACTTTCATAAATTGGAAGCCTTAAAAATATATTATACTTATTTGGAATGTTTGCACCTACTTTATTTTAGGAATCTATTTTTTTTTATTAATTCATATGGCATTTTAGTGTTACTTCACCTACCCAAAGCACAGAAATATTTTTTTACCTGTATTCTTAAAAAAATATACTGATTAATATCCATTCTTAATCCATTTTTTAAATGCATTTATTAAAAAATGTATATTGTTTTTTTCTTTTGATTATGATTTGATTATATTGCTAAATAACCCCTTTTATGATTACTCAACCAAGGTCCTGGATTTCTCACAGGAAAGGATGTTGCATCCTAAAAAATTATTAACTGGTAATTTTTTTAAAAATGGGGCATATTTTTTAATGTATTTCTGTAATTTTCCCAGGCAGCCAGCTGCATAAATGCAAAATGCTAAAAAAGAAAATCACCTTAGAAATGAAAAAAACTAGCATAATGTTTTTTCCATTCAAAAAAGCATCCTCTTGGTAGTGTCCAAAATTTATTTAGCTGAAATGTTAAATTTTAATGCAGAGTATACAAATTATAGCACAATTATCAGAAGTTATTAACTTAAAATATGAGGATATGCAATGATGAAAGAAAGCACATTATCTAATCCTAAACTATTCACTCTAAACATCTTCTGAAACTATCTAAAATACAAAACTGTGCACAAAGTATAATGCAAACAAGTCACATGCATACAGTGCATACAATTAGCAATACAGCTTTAGAGCTGACACCTAATGGTGACACAAGGAACCTTTAGACCTTTTTTGATCAGTTTTGGTGCACATGGGGAGCCCCCTGAATAATGGGTTCACTGTCCACCTAAATCTTCTGATCCGATCCTAAGCCAAGCCACTTCTTTAACCTAGAATGTAACAGTTTAATGCCAAAGCCTCTATTGACTGCTGAGGCTTCAGCATTTTGACTACCATGGGCAGCACCTGGCTCCAGAGTAGAGGCTTTTTAGCCTTGAGATGGAGCAGAAGTTGAAACCTATATTGACAGGGCAATAGAGATCATATAGCTCCTTAAACACTTAGAAAGGAAACTGGAAAATTTAGAAGGTGCCTGCTCTACATCCATGTTGTTTCATACACTTAAAACATGTGTACCCTTACTTAAAATATAGTCATAAATAGTGCAATTTATCTTTTAAGTCCCAGCACACAAAGTTATATTTTTTCCATAGGAAAAAAAACCCTGACCCCTTTTATTAAGATGTCGTATACTGTGGAAAATAAATTGACATCTTAAAATGATATTTCTAATGTTTACAAAGTTTCTGAACTATTTTTTTTTTTTGCAAGGAGCAGTGTTGTATCCTATTTTGTCTGTAATTAACCTGGTCTTGTGGAATGCTGCTATAAATTATTAAGGACTTTAACCTATAGTGGCAAAATTTAAGTACAAAAAAATGAAATCTTGTGCTTTGTTCCATAAAAACTAAGATTATTTCCACCATACCACAACAACAGAAATATCATTAAAGCCACCTACAAAGAAAACCAGCAATACTATACATCTACACAATGGTTGTTGTATTTTTATTATTTATAAATTAAAATTATAACATAAAACATAGACAATTGTAGAATTTAGCATAAAATAAAAGTGTACACAATTTACTAACAGTCTAAGCGTCATTAAGGATAGACCCTGAAAATACAATTCCTTCATATATGTGCAATTTATATGCTGTATATGTACAGTTATTCAATTATTTTCTTTAGCATTTGCATTAGTCTAAACAGTGCAAGTCGTTTTTTTTTATGAACATTATTTACCAAAAGATGGAAATAAGCAATTCAGATTTATCGACAGAAACTGAAGTCATGCAAAAGCCTACAGAATCCATTGGTCTGCCTGGGTAGTTGCCTTTCATTTACAACTTATTAGGCTGCCTGGCTAAATTTTCGTAGGTCTTACATAAGAACAGCTGTCAGAGTAAATTGAGAAAAAAAACCCAGAATGTCAATGTGCTTACAAATAAGGATACATTCTAGTAGGATGGCTGGATGTTATTGAAAAATTAACTGATATTGATAAGTGTACTGGAAAAATGATGTGTCACAACATTAATAATATTAATTTAGAACCCTCAAATATTGATATTGGCCATTGTTTCATCTAAGCTCACATACCCATACCTTGGCCTAGTCAAGAAAAATAAGCCAATATAACACTTATCTTTTGTTATAAAAATGTTCTAGGCTGTAGAAGGCCCAGTGTTTCTTCATGTTAAAACTCTTTCAATGAGACAAATCATGTCCTTCTAACAATTTCAAAAATAATGACTTCTTCCTGTAAAGCACCCATTGTTACTCCATGCAATGTTAGTAGTAAGTAAAAAAGGCCACTTTGGAAAACCAACACATTAAAAAGAGGACTATTCAAACTGTGCTTTCTATTTGTGTTATCAAACAAATTTCTTGCCATCATGTCTAACATTCCTTCTGAAACCCCATGCTCTAAGCTGTTCTCCAGGATATGGCTGAACCCTCAATTTTGTGCTATGTTCTATACTTCCTAATTTTTCTTCTTCAGTTTTAACCTTGATTCCTGCACATTATATACAATTTGAAGGTCAATTGCACAGAACATCCACCAGCATTAGATAGTATGTTTCTGCCCCAGTATTTTAAAGTTGATTGTTACGGTTGACTCGTCTGCCATAAGTTTAAAACCAAGATATATATATATATATATATTTTTTTTTTAACTTACTGATTTGACTCTGGACTAAGCAATGATTCACTGAGGGCAATGTGTTCTGTGTAACTAGGGTAAAACAGAGGCCTTGGAGAGAGTACCCGGGTTGCCTGAAGCCTTGATTCAATTAAAGGATAGTTAGTCTGGAGATGCTGCATGTATCTGGAAGATGATGCAGCGAGAAGGGAGCTGTTACCTTTTTGCCTGGTACAAAGAGGAGTGGCAGAAAGAGAGTGAGCATCTCTGGTTCTGGGTGATGATGGTGTAGATGATGAAGCTGTAAGCCCGAAGAGGTTCCTTTGTTGCCGGGAGATAGAAGATTCCTCACTGTAAGTATAGCTTTGGTTGGAAGACGAAGAGAAGCATTGTGTATTAAGCTGTCCAGTGCTCCTTGAGGCTGATAGCTGGTGGAAGAGGAGTGTAGAGGACTTCTCTGGGCTGGAGTTGGCTGATGATGAAGCTGTTGGAACCCTGAGTGGTGGCCTGTCCTGTGATGCTTGGAACGGAAGCTTGCTGCAATACGTGTGAAGCGGGTTCCTGCCAACTGGAGCTGGGAACTGCTGCAAAGACAGCAAACGTGTTACCTGGGGTTGGTGGATGGACGATGTTGTGTTCAGAGTTTAGCTGTTGCTACCTGATGCTTGGAAACACTGGTGTTTTTCTTTGCCCTCTGATCCTTTAGTTCCTGAGATGTTAAGTGTAGATATGAAATGCTTCTTTATTATAGGAAACCAGATAGTCATAGATCACTATGTGTTCCCATTCATAAGCAGGACTTCATATTTTTTGGAAACTTAACATTTGTTATTTGCGTCTTGCTGTTCTAGTGTAATTTTAATGTTTAAAATACTCATTCACTGACCTTCTGTGGAATATAATTTTTGCAGATATTTTGTTGTTTTTATCAGTGGTTATTATAGATATATGTTAACATTGTGGAACAAAATGTTTTTGGTTAATACTCTACTTTTAAAGACTAAAAGGCAAATTCTTGTAAAAAATTGACTAATTTAGCACATTTGTTCCCAAAAGGAGCACTAGCTCACTATATACCTTTTGTCTGCTTTGACAGCAGATATTCTAAAAAGATAAAAATCAAGAATTCAAATATCTAGTTAAGAACAAATAGGGCATCCTCTCCTATTAAAAGGTACTGTCATTGACTATATTATATATTGATTTTCAGGTCTTGGGGATACTCATAAATGTAATTATTATTATGTATTCAGCACTCCAAGATGTATTTTATGTATTGGATTTTAAAATTATTTTCATAGCTTTTCACAAAAATCTCTATGACCACCAGGGGCGGACAGACAACTCATGGGGCCCCTGTGTCCTTGCCCAAACTCATACAAGCCTATGAAAAAGGTACCAGGGGCATCTCATGGGGCCCCCTACTGACCCCGAGCCCTCGGGCAGTGCCCGAGTTTCCAAATGGTCAGTCCGCCCCTGGTCAGTCCGCCCCGGATGACCACTATGTATCTAGATTAAGCATGACTTTTATTTTCATATTGTATTCCAATTTTAAATCACTGATGGCTATGACAGACACACTATGATATAGCTACTGGTGTCAACCATAACAATGTACACTAGGCACTGAATGTAATGTTAAGTTCTAATTAACTGATGTTTGATTATATAGTTAATACATGCCATATTATACTTTGTTTAAAAAAGCAATTGTTAACCATACACCTGCTTGGAGTGAAGTTTGCTTAATATATATAAAGCGTATTATTCCCATGACTAATATTCATGTGAATGCAAGTAATTAGTTGAAGTACCTGTTTGGTTCCCAATGACTGCATTCTCATAAATTTTTGTTTAGACCACAAAACGGCAGACACCAAGGTGTAACCTGTGCAACTTTGTATGACATTTAGTTACAGTTATAGTAATACTAAAAGCTATGCAGAAAAAGTCAGTTTTACCAGTTAATGCACTACACATTCGTAAGCAAGCAAAATACTACATGACGTTCAAAAGAAAATATGTTTTAGTGTAACAAACAAATTGGAAATGTGGGCAGACTATAAGATGTTCTGTGCAATGGGCTTCCAAACATTTTAACTAAATTACATCAGAACTATAAATAAGAAGTTAAACCAGTGGCTTATTTCTAATGGCCAGATTTCCAAAGTCATCCAAACCCTCCAAATCCAGTACAGACAACAGTTTTTGGAGCTGAGCTAATGTTCACATTTTTCACAAATTAAATGGTATGTAAACCTTAACAATGAGCTTCACTTATTTGCTCCCTTTTGGTCTGTTAGATATATATTGAAAGCAGTATGTCATATCTATTTGAGAAGCAGAAACATTAAATATAAATGCTGCCAGAAATCTTGTGAACTGATAACATCCTATGCTCTTTGCCTCTACTGCACTCTTATCAGTTTTATCAGTTACATTGCTTACAGCTCTCTCTAGACTACAGAATACCTTCTCCAATGTCAGGAAAAAAGGAGACAGAAAGTGTTCTGCACTCCTAACACACTTCCTGTCCTAGGGTAACAATGCTACTTCTCCATAGATACAGTAGGGTGAGTATTGTCACCCTTAGACAGGTATTGTATGACTGGCAGGATCAAAAGGTTAAAATAATAAAAAAAAAAAGAAAACTAATGCAGCTATCACATCTAAGGAATAGTAATTCTCACTCAGTTATGCAGGCCATAGATGGGACGTTTATTGGCCGAATCGCCGGACGAAAAAAACGAAAAATCTGTTGTTCTGCTGCCACCAATGCATACGAAAAATGACCGTTTTTCATAGATTTTCCAGCATGACCGATAAAAAGAAACGAGAAGTAAAATCAGAAAATCAGCTAACGACATTGCCCCACTAACAGTGCGAGAAACGGCAGATTATTCGTTTGGACGAAAATTCGGCCGATAAACGTCCTGTCTATGGCCTGCATTACAGGTGCAGCTATCCTGCGGGCTGCAGTCTTATCAGCAGTGATTCAGCTCTCAGACTGAATGCTTTTTAGAAGTCTAGATAACAGCCACAATAAAAAGTGTAAACTTCCAGCAATGTGCCTAAATGGTCCCATTTAATGTCAATATTCTTTATGAAGCTACAAACAATATGTCATTAGAAAAGCTATGAAATAAATCATGAAAACTGAAAAAACAAGGATTTGGCCATAAAAAATATGAAAAAGTATGAAATTTAAAATTCCATAAAGGTACCTCAAAACTACGCAGTGCCATATTTTGTTAAAAAATAAAATATAACTAATCTACTTCTACTGTAACTTTCAAAATATACAAAGTTGAATTTATAGTAGTAGAAAAAGACTACCTTACACAAAATCAAGAATCCCATGTTTTTAGTCTCACTTAAAAACAATTTTTTAAGTAGAGAGAGACATTGCCAAATCATAACTTCTTTTGGAGGTTAAGTTGTCCTCGTTGTTTATTCTAAATATGTGTCAAATTGAGCACCACAGAATGTTTTCTTCATCAAAATTTTCCCATGTTGGTATCTTCAGAATTTTTAGACAGAAATTATATTCAGATGATGTAGATGTTCAGTGAGTAGTTCCGGCTTGCTTGAGACTAAATGACTAATTCTGAAAACGTTTGACAACAGACTGTTCAAAAACATTCCTTTCAAAATTTTACCCTAGCATTTGAGTTTATACTGTTAGAAATAATGATAAAAAGCTAAAATGATCAACAGTACTTTCATGTCTTGAGCTTAAGTTTCCATTGAGTTTTATTTGGAATATTTTGAAAATACATAAGAGGTTGGCAAAGAATTTGCATTAAACTTAACTAAACAAATTCTCCTTTTTTGGGAAATAATAATAATATGAACTACAGCATTAGATATAAAAAGGTCATGTGACTAATAATTTTCCTTTCAAAGATTGGAGCCCTGTGATAAAAAAAATATTTTATGATGAATTTTGCAGCATCTGTAGACAGCAGTTGCACCATAGTCCTCCTATTCACGTTTTAACTGACCTAGAAGATATACAGAATCTGAGGCTGATGTTTTGGCACATAGTTTTAAGGAATAATCAGTTCCTTGATCTTGAAATAAACTTCAGACAATCCTTTTTAAAATGACTTGTTTTATTGAACCTCTGTAAGGTGAAGATTTCTGAATTGAAAAGCTGCTGTTTTTTTTGTGCTTGATTTCTCTCTGGCATTGTTCCTCTTTTCATTTATCTTGAATGAGTAAACATTCCCCGAGGCTTAGATGCAGGTGGCTCTTCCATTTTTGTAAAAAAAAAACTTGCTTTCTTGTCACCCGTGCATTCACTTAAGATGGTGACACTGAAGAACTCCACTATAGATGCCTCCGATTATAAAGTCAAGTGGTCTATAATTTACATTTTTCTGCTCCGTCAGTTGGCATGACCCAGATTTAATGATACCGTGTTTTGTAAGATTTATGTGCCAGAAAACTGGGATAGGCTAACCTGCATTATTAAAGCCGCAAGTCTTGTAGGTTGCATTATTGTGTAACGTACTTCAATATGTTATTTTATAAATTCAATACCAAGCAGAGACCCTTCATTTTTTGGTACTGAGAATCAGAAAAAAAATAGGTTTTTGAAATTGCACTTTTCATGGTGCTACTTTAGACACCACAGCCCTCTTGCACTAGTATGATAGGGAACAGACATTGATCATCTACAGCGTGTTAAGATATAATGGCTGGTTGTTTGACCTTAATCTTCCCACTGCAAACCTGATTTTAACACATCCAGATTTAGATTCGACAATGTGTTGACTGGGTTCTTTCCAGAAGTGCTTAAGTTGATGGGCTTTCCTATATGGCACATTAGCATGAATTGATACACTTTACATTAAGGGATGTAAAGTACTTGACTTGAGTGGCAAATTGCAGGTCAATGCACCTAAAAATGCAACAATGGGAGCCTTTTAAAAGGCTTGCAACATTATTTCGTTTAGATGCAGTAACCTGCATTTTTTTCATCTGCCCATGTAATTTGCTAAGCACTGGTGTAAACAGGCTCTTAAAGTGAAATTGGGATAATACCTACTTTAAGTTTGTCATATAATTGCATCCTACCTTTTTAGATGATTATTTCCGGAACTTCCAGCAGGCAAAAAGTCTGTTTAGTTCTTTTTGTTATGAGGGGACTGGGGAGCTGTGTTTTTCCCATAATTAACCCTGACTGTACTGTGTAAAACAGATATTACCTCATCCATACAAAGCCATACAAAGCAGTGTGCAGGAGCTGATATGGGAGAGATCTGTGTTGTTTATACACAGGTCTCCCCCACGTCAGAGATACTCGGCAATCACCGGGTGCTGGCGAGTAATCACCGGCTGAGACCTGGTGATTGACAGCCGAGGTCGCAAATTCCCCCTACCCGGAACTGCAAAATCATGTACATATACATGATTTTGCACACCCGTGCCGCCATGTAGCAGTATTTCTGCCATAGGGTGACACAGAAGAGGTTAAGGTAGTCATAAAGACAACTGTTACCCACTTTAACCAATTTGCAATTGAGGCCATATGCAGTGACAATTGTGATGTTTATGAATTCTAGAAGATGATTTATGGCCCGTCATTCTTTGGAAGGAACAGTTTGTCAGTCAGGATAGATTTTTTTCAACACGTTGATTATTTCCCCCAAAGATAGGGGCATCACCAAGGATATCTGCACTCCTCTAATGCATGAACATACTGTATGCTTGTGGCCAACGTGTGGAACAAAGAAAGCATTTGGTGTTTAAGTCATTCCTTCATATCTAGCCACCAAATAATTGCTATGGCTAGCTTTACTGTTAATCTTATTTTCAGAAAGAATGAAGAAGGAACTCAGACCCAAGTCAAATACTATTTTTTAAGTGCCATAGTTGCACAGTCCAGAAAGCTGATGTTACAAGCTTGCAAAGGATAACAACTTTTCATGAGCATCACGTTGGCATAGGATAACAAAAATCCACCTGCAACCATGATCTTTAGATAAATGCAGGCTTAAGGAGAAACATTCAGCATGTACTTTCACTTACTTACAGTATGCATCTATCCTCACTCCACTCTTCTATAACACCTTCTGATTTAATTGCTGAATCTCTTTCATGGTCACTAGTTACAGTAACCAAGTTCTTTTAATCTTTGATGACAAAACACCTCTCAACTGATCTCAAACTCAACAGATTTTTTACTGACCTTAAAGTGTATGTAGAGCCAAAACAACTTTTAAAAAAAAAAAACTTTTCCATGGATTGACAAATGGTTGGAAACTCCTTTCAAGTTGTGTTCCTGCTCTAAAGATCTACTTTTTCTATTTGTCCTGGGGATGTGTTTCACAGAAAAAGATAATAATGAGAAATCCAAAATGTTATATTTGTCACCAAAACAAGGGATGAGGGGAAATTGGACCAATAGGTACAAGCACAGAAAACAAATTAACGAGGATTTTAGCGCTCCCCAACTCTATCCAAAAGTAAAAAAATAAAGTTTTGGTTATACATATAGTTTAAACATGCATAACCCAACTTCACTAACCTAACTTTTAAACACATTAATACATACCTGTTATATAAGTAATTGGAAGGAATACCAATTGAAATAGGTCCTTATTTCAAACCATAATTCTTCATAGCTACAGGGTGAAAGTGATACATAATGAAATCTAAGTATTATACAAAATAGTTTGGGTACCAACGTCTCTCCGGCTCTTGTTAGGTATAATCTGCTTAGAGTCAATCAGAGGTGACGTAAACTTGTACATATTATAGAATTAACCTAATATAATAATTAAATACAGTGATAAGAGATATTGTGCGTACACCCTTCCCAGCTGCATTAAAATATGAACATATAGCATGTACATTATACAAGCAAAAATATGGACTAAAGTAATAGCTTTGGGTACCTACAATATGGGTATAGCTTTGAAAACGGATCCTGAATATGTCGTCTTATGTCATAAAACATGTTAAAATACTATAGGCTTTATTGGTTCCTAAACATCCTTATAATGTATAGAAACAGAGTGCTGAATTTTTTTTTCTAACCAGCAAATGATCCAGTGGTTAACCTTGATGTGTTACAGCTGTGGATCCTAGGGATGAATAAGCATATGATATGTATTGTTTCTTGTGTTTGTATAGGACTTCTCTGGAAGCTTCTGTTTCCTTCCATAATCCAAAAACATTTTATAGGAGTCAGCTTGAAGAGGACCTTGCATTTATATATTTTGTGTACATTTGCAGTTATGTATTTTAATGCAAAAGACTGTAAACTCCAATATAGTATTTGACTGGGTAAATGAACCCTGTTAAATAGCGGTGACCAAAATTGAACTCTAGGCTAAATATGTATTGTCTAGTACAAGAGTTATGTGTATTTTTGCTTGAATCTTAGTGCTTTGTTTTTCTTCTTCCAGATCTATGCAGTAATTCAGCATAACACATCTCTTGCACCTTGCCTCTATGCAGGAACCTTCCTAAAACATAGACCGGTTACTGCTTTCTTTGTGCAGGGTGACTGGTCTTGTATCCGCACCTTCCTGTAATTCCCCTCTCACAGCTCTCTGCACAAACTATGGACAGAATAAGATGATGTTACCACCACTTGTACAAGGTACAATATAGGCTTTTGGTGCACGCAAAGTGTATTTATATCTTTGTGGCTAGTGAGGAATGAAAGATTTTGTGTTCGAATTTCAACATTTATTTCCTACAGTTGTGTCCAAAATTATTCAACCCCCACTGAAAATGAAATTGAGTGTTTTGGCCAGTTTGACATTGCTTTTGATCATTCAGTCATCTTGCTTACATTTACATTAAAGAGGCACTTGTAGGTCAGACAAATATAACAATAACAGTTTATAATGAAATAACCACAAAAGTCTTTTCTGTGCTCACAGCATTATCAGTTTTATTCAACCCCCAAGTGACATTCAATCTTAGTACTTAGTACAGCATCCTTTTACAGTTATAACAGCTTTTTAAACGTGAAGCATAGCTTGACACAAGTGTCTTGCAGCGATCTACGGGTATCTTCGCCCATTCTTCATGGGCAAAGGCCTCCAGTTCAGTCACATTCTTAGGCTTGCGCACTGCAACTGCTTTCTTTAAGTCCCACCAGAGGTTCTCAATCGGATTTAAGTCTGGTGACTGCGATGGCCACTCCAAAATGTTCCAGCCTTTCCTCTGCAACCATGCTCTAGTGGACTTGGAGGTATGCTTGGGATCATTGTCCTGTTGAAAGGTCCAACGTCTCCCAAGCCTCAGGTGTGTGACGGACTGCATCACGTTTCCATCCAATATCTCCTGGTACTGAAGAGAATTCATGGTACCTTGCACACGCTGAAGCTTCCCTGTACCTGCAGAAGCAAAACAGCCCCAAAGCATGATTGACCCTCCACCATGCTTACAGTAGGCAAGGTGTTCTTTTCATCATAGGCCTTGTTCTTCCTCCTCCAAACATAGCGTTGATCCATGGGCCCAAACAGTTCTAATTTTGTTTCATCAGTCCACAGAACACTATCCCACAACTTTTGTGGTTTGTCCACATGGCTTTTGGCATACTGCAGTCGACTCTTCTTATTCTTTGGAGACAGCAAGGGGGTACGCCTGGGAGTTCTGGCACGGAGGCCTTCATTACGCAGTGTGCGTCTTATTGTCTGGGCTGAAACTTCTGTACCCACATCTGACAAATCTTTTCTCAGTTCCTCAGCAGTCACACGGGGACTTCTCTCCACTCTACGCTTCAGGTAGCGCACAGCAGTCGAAGTCAGCATCTTCTTTCTGCCACGACCAGGTAGCGTTTCAACAGTGCCCTTTTGCCTTGAATTTGCGAATGATGCTTCCTAAGGTGTCTCTTGGTATGTTTAACATCTTTGCAATCTTCTTATAGCCATTGCCCTTCCTGTGAAGAGAAATCACCTCTTCTCTTGTCTTCCTGGACCATTCTCTTGCCTTCACCATGTTTGTAACCACACCAGTAAATGTCTAGAAGGAGCTGAGTATCACAGTCATTTTAAAGCTGCCTAATTGGTGCTTATTATGCTTGATTGCTGCTCGGTGACATCCACAGGTGTTTTCAATACCTGATGGAAAGCACCTGTATGAACCTCTGTTCTTCAGAGTGGTAGTCTTTAAGGGGTTGAATAATTGTGGCAATGAAGAAACCACATAAGAACCATTTACTACTGTATTACATAAACAATTGATGTCATTTTAGTTGCATTTGGGTAGTTACAACGTCCTTGTAGGATTTGATTCTGAATACAATTCCAAATGTACACTATAGTCCCTAAACCCCTTTACAGCATTGGGGGTTGAATAATTTTGGACACAACTGTATGTGTGAATTTCTGACAAATAATAGATGATGAATTCATTAACATTTTAATCACGCTACTCCAATTTTATATCATTCATTCATTCGTTTTTTTTTCTTTCAGATAACAAACAGGATGACCATGCATGACAAGTGATGCTTGTTGCAAAGACAACGCTTGAGACAAAAACAAAAAGTGTGAGGTAGTAAAAGCAAAAAGTGAAGCTTCTTCAGCTTGGCAAACAACCATCTCATGTTAGGTCACTGTGTTGGAATGACTCATACCTCTTGCTGTCAATGCCACTGGTACCCAGTATGTTTGACTCATGGGTAAAGTGCCTATACGTCAAGGTGTATAGAAGTGTTGAGCTGGTAGATGGCTCTGCACTTACTTTGGGACTGCCAATCTTGCTTTTTCCCGCCTTGCCTTTGGAACGCCAGGATTGCTCGTGGTCAAATTCCAGGTCTTCAAGCCTCTGTGTTAGTGCCAGTTTCTGTTGAATTGCCATCCGTAACAGAGAGTTCAGAGTCTTCTTCTCATCCTCTGCGGCTGCTAGCTGTCTCTGCATCTCATCCAGTTGTGTCACATACTCATCACACCTGGTCAGGCAAAAAAGAGGGTGAAAATGGTAATGTTTTCCTTGTACATTCCAAATCAAATGAACTAATTTATTCAAAATGTTAAACAAATAAGTAGTCTTCAAAGTCTACTTAAAGGATGCGTGGTGGCACATCGTGTGCTCTGGTGACTCCCACTGGCTCCTTTATCCTGTAAAGATGTAGGAGCCATTGGGAGAAATCAGATCTCTTGCGAGGGGAGCAGGTCTCTGAAACACTTGAAACAGCCTGATACCTGTAGAGGGTGGAGATCAGCAATGCAGTCTTATGATGTTTTATGATGCTGGCCACCAGAAAGGTAAGCATTTATCTTCTATGTAAATGGATGGGCTTAGTTTAAATTTTTTAATGGACAGTGTCACTTTGAAGAGTATGTCCAGCCAAAACTTTTTTTAACCTGGACTAGAATGGGGAAAAATCAGAACAGGTTTTTACTAATCTCTGGGGCTCCTTTAGGGATTTCTTCCCCTCACAGTCCATGTGACATACATAATTAGGTTGAAAAAAGACACAAGTCCATCTGATACAACCAAAAGAAAAAGATAAGCAAATTGAAAACCTCCAAATACACAGTCATTTACCCATAGTCCATCTAGAGAAAAGCAAATAAACTCAAAGGCAGCATAATCCAATTGCTCCAGTGGGAGAAAAAATTCCTTCCTGATCTCCCGTGAGACAATCGGATATTCCCTGGATCAACTTACCTGGTGTAATTACCTAAATGTTAGTATCAAATTATATTTTCTGCATTTAGGAATGTTTCCAGCTCCTTTTTAAAACAATCGACTGAGTTGGCCAGAACTAATTCTTGTAGTGAGGAAGCCTTTCTGTACATGGAGGTTAAAGTGTTACTAAACCCAAGACCCTGCATTCACCCTATCTGGTCTCCCACAGTACACAGAACATGGAAGTACAATTATTTTAGTAAATATAAACTGCTAAATACCTTTTCTCATCTGCAGTTAGAGCAGTCTTGTGACTTCTATCACTGTTCAGCAGAGCACTGGTTACAGCTCGGAGTTTTCTTTCTGCTCTAGGAGGATGTAGAACCCCTGACTTGTCTGGAAAGCTCTGATTGGCCCTGTGCTGATCACATGCACTCTCCCAAGAAAAAAAAAACCCTTTCTAGCAATACACACCAAACTGAGCATGTGCAGAGTGACTTCACACAATATGTCATATCAGGAGATGAATGGTGGGCACTGGAAGAAGGGAGGATCAGAGAAGTCAAGATCAAAGAGCCCTTTTCACAATGCAGATGATTAACCTCTTAGGTTCCACAGTGAGTATACAGACTGATTTTACTGTTGTGGGTTTAGTAACACTTTAAACTGCTTTTCCTCCAAACATAAACAGTTCCTCTCTTGTGCTCTGTAATGATCTGAAAGTGAATAACGCAACACCAATTTCACTATATGAACTTATGGTTTTATAAATGATCATACCCCCTCTTAATCTCCTCTTTTCAAGAAAGAATAAATTCAGCTCAGATCATCTTTACTCATAGCTGAGCTCCTCCATGCCTCTTATCAATTAGGTTGCCCTTCTCTGCACTTTCATTTTTGTGATATCCTTTTGTAAACTGGTGGTCAAAACTGAAATGCATATTCTAGATGAGGTTTTACTAATGATCTGTACAGGGACAAAATGATGTCTCTCTCTCTTTCTCCGGAGTATATATCTCTTTTGATACAAGAAAATATTTTGCTAGCTTTAGAAACTGTAGCTTGGCATTGCATGCTATTTTTAAATTTATTATCTACTGGAAGGATCTACACCCAAATCCTTTTCTACCATTGACTCCCCTAGCTGTTCTCCTCCTAGAATATATAATACATGCATGTTTTTTTTGTCTCCGAGTGCATGACATTTGTGCACATGTGCATAACTTTACATTCATCAACAATAAACCTCATTTGCCATATAGCTTCCCAATTAAACAGTGCAGTGAGGTTAGCTTTAAATTGGATACATCCTGTAGGGACGTTAGTTCACTTCATAGCTTGGCATAACCTGCAAACACTGAAATGGTACTATTAATTCCAAACTTTATATAATTTGTAAATACCGGTAGGACACAATACTAATAAGCTTAGGCCATTCAGAGTATGAATCATTAACCACTACTCTTGGAATATAGTCTTTTAGCCAGTTTTATATATCCATTTCAAAACTGAATTTTCTAAGCCTGTAGACTTTAACTTACACATTAGCCATGTGTATGGAACTATATCAAACACTTTTGCAAAATCCAAGTATACTATATCCACAGCCACTTCTTAGTCTAAGTTTTTGATTACTTTCCCATAGAAAGAAACCATATTTGTTTGATAACTTCAGTCTTTTGTGAATCCTTGCTTGTATTTAATACCTTTCCCAGAGATCACTTGTAACTGAGTGACGCAGTGTACTGCGACAATGGGTCGGCATTGGAGCCAGACAAGCAGCTTATGCAGAAGGAAAGAAGCTGTGGTAGCCTCCATATTTCTCTAAAGACAACGTAAAGCACACTTAAATGGTTCAGCTGCTCAGCCATTCTTTTATGTGTTTTCAGTGGCATAGAGTTGTTTAGACCATCAATTCTACAAAGATGAAGTGATCTAATTTAAATGCATTGATTTTTGGCCAGGAAATATTTGGCCGGCACAATCTGTAGCAGAAAACAGGAAGATCTACAGACAGCAGAGTGCTGATTCCAATAACCTGCAATGAAGGAGTTATTAGATCTAAGGAGAGTCAATTACAGGTAGAGGACAAAGACCAATTTCTTCTGTTACTGAAAACATTTAAAGAAAAGTCTCCAGAAATCACCCAGGCAAAAAAACATATACCCTGCAGGGTGGTGGTCGGGCATGGAACTGACATTTGTTTTAAACTGATACTTGCAAAGCTTAAACAGGAAGTCAAGGCATGTAATACCATAAAGTAAGTGAGTAAATATACTGTATAAATGCTATTAACAGAAAACCTTACCCCTATCAATTTCCATGGTATTTAGAACAGTTATATTCCATTCTTCCATTTAAAGCCCTGTTACAACTTTTTTTTTAATAGTTTGACAGATCAGAAAAGGTTTGTTTTTTATTTGCAGTCCATATCTCCATTGGGGAGATTTCCCTCACTTCCAATCAGGACGTTATTCACATAGCTTAAAACATATTTAAAAATTGCTGCTTAGCTTTTCACCTACTTTTATATGTATATAAATGAGGGATAAGTCAGTGTGACCCCAGTCTGTGTGGGATCAGGGACACTTTGAGATTGTCCAGAAATGCTTGCAATCTGTCATGTAGCTTTCTCCTACTTTTATCTAAAAGTTAAGAAATATATTTCAAATTTTTTTTAGTTATGCTGTGTGAACGGAAACACGTAACAAACACATAGTGCGGTTTTCTCAAATTTGACTGAAAAAATGGAAATGTACTTAAAATCACAGAGCCAATCTACTGGGAGCAGGTTGGCCAAAGTACAGTATGGATGACTGCTCTGCCTGTGGTTTCCAGATGCCCTTTTCATTAGCTGCTTTGCCAGTACTCTCTTACCTGGTGGCAAACATGGCTCTGAGTGAAGAGAATGTGGCTGCATCCTCCTTCAGGGCCTTCAGCTCGTTCCTCAGCTTTGTCATTGTTTCTGTCACCATGGTCTTTTCATTTTCATACTTATTTTTCAAATTTGCAAGAGCAACTTCTGCAGTCTAAAAGGAAGCACAGAAAAGGTCCCATCATTATTTCAGAAATATGGCATGTCCTTAGCAAGCAACTTTAAGGAACAAGTAAGATCAATAAGTCTACAGATGCTATCCAGAAAACAAGGCCACTGTTTTAAAGGCAATATTTCCAGTCAGTTTGAAGCTCTGGTTAGGATTACAACCAATTATTAAGTTTTTTGCCTGCATATTCTAAGACAGAAGAATTACCCAAGCAGTCTTCTGCTCTAGGAAACAGAAAAAGGAATGTGGAATATACCTCTATTTAGCAACTGGTCAACTAGAACATGGACAATTATTGAATAATTTTCATAAATGTGTTCTGCTTTAGCACAAAGCTTTAATCCTTTGAATGGAAAAGACAATTCAAACTGTCATGGGCTTACCCTTTCTTAGCTAAACACCTAATGGTGTGTAATATAAACAACACAAAATTCTCTAACGAACTCAAAGTTGGGAAGACTAGTCAAATCCATTCATCAATTAATTAAACTACATAAATTTAAAATTATTACAATAAAACAGATGCTCCTGTAGCGTTCCATTTCAGAAAAGCGGCAAACGGCAAAAAAAAAAAAAACGATCTCAAAATTACAATATAGATCGGAAACTTAAAATCACAAAAAAGCAAATGTAAATTCATACAAAAATTCACACAACTATTTAAAACTCTAGACTATAGTCTAAATAGTCTATAGTCTGACCTCTGGCAATGAAGCCTTTATTATCTCAAACATTTGATCAAAGGTACTGTATATAGACATTTTAAAAGGACTCTCATTCTCAAGAAGTCACACAGAGGTGAGAAATATGCCTGGACTTCTTATCTCCAAGTCAATTACCCAATAAAACATCTAAGCACCAATTTACAGCATACAGCCTAACCCTTTAACTCTTCAAAAGTCTTTACTACTCAAGTGTGTCAAAACAAAATACTTGCATTTTAATAAAGGTTTGATTTATTTGCTCTTCTTTGTAATTACAGTAAAGCTTGTCATAGACTGAGCGAACCTACTGTCCAACATTCCTTAACTGAAAAACTAAAGGAACCATGTAGAAACTTGTTGGCCAAGCAGCGATTGCATCCACTAAGATACTAGTGCTGTTTGGGTGTTTTGACAGCTGGTGGGTTCGGCTGTAAAAATACAGTAGCCACAGTGGGAAATTCATCCATAACTATATGTGTATGTCCAGATTATGTGCAAAAAGATGTATCAGAACCGTTTTCAGAATCCTAACAGAGGACTCTAACTTTCTAGATGCAAACAATGCTGAATGTTTGGAGGTTGATTGATATCCTTTATTGGCTACCTAAATTTTATTTCTTAAAACAAAAAATGTGTGCAGGCAGGCTATTTATTGCAGTCTTCCTTAGAATGTACACTCAACTGTGCATGTGCAGCTCTGTATACATTCCAGCATCATGCTCATGTGCCAGAATGGCTGAATTCCTGCGCATGCTCAGAAATTACATCATCCTGCAACGGCCAAGCAAAATAGCTGAGGACCCAGAAAAAGATGGTGTGAAGATGCTGGTAGCCCTCATTCACCTTTGTAGCTATAGGTATTGTAGGAAAATTCATCTTCAGTATTTCTAACAGAGGCACTAAAGTCTCAGCTCTTTTCAGCCTGTCAGCCCTCCAATGTAAAATACACATTAGATGTTTTTAAAATGTTCAAAACTGACAGAAACCTGACTTCAGAGTCTCTATTATGATCTTTTAGAATCATTAGGAATTATTTAATAGTGCAATCAGCTAGTTAGGTCAGGGGTGACTTGTTTTAAAGCCTTTAGCCCTTTAAGTGGGTGTTAACACTGGGAGGCAGAGACAGTTTCCGATGATGTGATTGCTGTAATTGATTTTCAAAATGGTCACATGATCTGGACCCCTTCTGCTTGCTTCCGATTGCAAACAGGTACTGGGAGCTGTGGGTGACAACCTGGTCTGTGTGCTGTTAGAGCACAGTGAGAGAGTTCTCAGCAAAGGACCGTAAAGTAACATGAACGCATCCTAGATTGTAAGCTCGAAAGAGCAGGGCCCTTGAACCCCTCGTGTTTTGTTTTGTTACTGTATTGTCTCATGTACTGTCCCCCACTATGATGTACAGCGCTGAGCAAACCTTTTGGCGCTATATAAATACTGTATAATACTAATATAATATGCATTATACAGCTTGAAAGGGATTATATGTCCTTAGTGTGGGTACAGGGACACTTTAACTTTGGGCACAAAAAAAAAACATTAATCATATTGCCAAAATGTTGTAAACTTCTTTGAAAATTATATTTATTGATTTTTACAAATAAAGTACAAAATACAAAATAAAAGTACAACCACAAACAAACTTGACTGCACATGTAAAATAGCAGTACCTAAGTAGGCAGTCAACAAACAGTAAAGATAGAAAACTGGTATAAAGGACCAACTATACCTGTGACCACTACAGCACACTCTATTTTCGTAGAAGAGTCTAGGATAATGTACCTCTTTACATGTAAAGGGTAACAACAAAAAATGCATTCTCAACTCCCACACTATAATTCCCACAAAACCAGGAGGGGAAAAAAGACAGATTCATTAGGAGAATCCAAAGGAGGGTACGGTAACACTTGGCATGATTCAAACAAATAAGCAATTCAAGAAAGGAGACACACTACAGACACTGTAAATCAGACACAGTAAGTGGAGACTCAAACCATCCCCCCACAGTTTGTCAAACCTCCGGGGCACACCCCTATTGGTGTAGATAGCCTTGTAGCAGGGGAGGGCCCTATTAACCAACACTTTCCAGGCTGTTAAGGTGGGAGCTGTGGCCTTCTTCCACGAAAGGATAATACGTTTTCTCAGTGAGCAAGGTATGAATAGACTTGGTAGGGGCCAAGCCATCCACAAAACTGAGGAGGCACATCCTACCAGAAGGACTAAGCGGTATTGTCATAACCTATTGGATGCACCTAAGGACCTCTTCCCAATACACCTGAGTAGCCAGGCAATCCCAGAAGATGTGTATAAGATCAGCTCCAATAGCGGAGCAACGCCAACAGGAGGAAGAGCAATCACCATAAATCTTAGCCAATAGAAACCCACCAGGATTTACAAATGCTAAACAATTTGGTAGTTTCAAGAAACAGGGGCTTAGCTAAATCATCATCCCTTAACATTGACTCCAAGTCTAAGGGGCAGATGGAGGCCTAGGCAGACCAAAATTGAGACTGGTAGGCATACCACAACTGGAGATAGTGGAAAAATGAGAATTTTGGAGCAGGTACAAGGATTTAAGCTCAGCACAGGAGCTTTAAGTACTATTCTAAGTGATATCACCCAATTTCTTAATCCCATACTTCGTCCATGCAACAGGAACAGCATACACGTAAAAATGGAGGAGGTCTTGGTTTTTACATAAGGAAACATGAGGCGTAAAAGGGTACGGTGTGCCAAACTCCTTCCCATGTGTCACCTTCCAGGCCTTAATGACAGATCTCATGGAAATAGTTTGAGTATGGGGAGAGTATGGGGAGAGCGAGGGCCCCTATGCACCAGAAAAGCCAAAACCTCATAGGAGCCCACTACAGCCACCTCTAAGGCAACTGCAGTATTGTACAGAGGGCTAGTCAGCCACCTACGTGCAAAAACGAATTGTCTAGCCAGAAAATCTTTATAAAAGTTTGGAACTGCCTGGCCTCCCTCCTTTCAGGGCTGTTGCAATACTGCAAGACAAAGTTGGAGGGCTCCACCCTGCCAGAGGAAATCAGATGCCAGCCTATGGAGGGATTTAAATATAGACTTAGGCAACCTCATTGGGAAGTTCCTTAATGTGTATTGGAAGAGGGGTAGAAATCTTGATCTCTATGCCGACGACACACAAATCTATCTCTCTACCCCTCACCTCACCCCTTCAGTCTCCGCCCGTATCACAAGCCTACTGAGCGACATATCGGACTAGATGTCACTCCACTTCCTCAAACTAAATCTTTCCAAAACTGAGCTCCTAGTTTTCCCCCCCAGCCTGCCGCCCCCCCCCCCTGACTTCTTGACTTCTCCATCAAGACCAACAACACCACCATCAGTCCCTCCCCTCAAGCCAGAGTACTAGGTGTCATCCTAGCCTCCAATCTGTCCTTCCAGCCCCAGGTCCATTCACTGATAAACTCATGTAGACTTCAGCTCTGCAACATCTCCAAAATACGTCCTAACCCCGGAAACCACTAAGCAACTCATTCACTCCCTTATTATATCACGCCTCGACTACTGTAACTCCCTCCTCATCGGCTTACCTCACCGCAGGCTATCCTCGCTTCAGTCTATCTTGAATGCTGCGGCCAGACTCATCCACCTTACTAACCGCTCCGTATCTGCCACCCCTCTCTGCCAATCCCTCCACTGGTTTCCGATTGCCCAACGGATAAAATTCAAAATACTAACATTGACGTATAATGCTGTTCATAATACTGCCCCAAACTACATCACCGATCTGGTATCCAAATACCACCCAAAACGTACTCTCCGCTCCTAACAAGACCTCCTACTCTCTAGTTCCCTGGTCTCCTCCTCCCATGCCTGTCTCCAGGACTTCTCCAGGGCTTCCCCCATCCTCTGGAACTCCCTACCCCCAATCCATCAGACTATCACCTACTTTCCTCACCTTTAGGCGCACTCTGAAAACCTATCTCTTCAGGGAAGCCTACCCCGCCCTCAGCTAATTACTGAACTCCTCCACTCTTCCTACCACTCCATCCCCCACAGCTATTTCCTCCTGTACCACTATCCCCTCCCTCCTAGATTGTAAGCTCCAAGGAGCAGGGCCCTCAAACCCCTCGTGTATTGATTCGTATTGTTACTGTACTGTCTCGTGTACTGTCTCCCATTATAATGTTATAATGTACAGTGCTGAGTAAACTGTTGGCGCTATATAAATCCTGTATAATAAGAATAATATTTCGCCCCCGATCAACGAGAGAGGGAGGTTTCTCCAGACATTTATCCTAT